GGAAATAGACGATGAAGCACAAGAATCCTTACTAAATTCATTTCCTGATGATGATATACTCAATTTAACTAATCTTTTGCAACCACAAGAAGGTGATCCGTTTCCATCCCATTTAAACTCCCATGTATTTATTACGGGTAAGTTGAAATCGAGGTTGAAATTTAAGTTGAAAACTCGAATTGAATGTAGCTATGTAGAAATGTTTCTCTAAGTGTATGGGGACATCACAGCCATTCCGTTGGTTAACTTGACAATGACAAGATTGCTTGGTATCAATAAAATGCTTGTACTTACATTTCGAAAAATTCAACCGTCACTTAATTTTAACAATGTGCAATTAGTCGGAAATATATTTTAGGTATGCGTTGTGCGGCTCATACCCTTCAACTTGCAGTAGAAGGAGCATTAAGTACAGATAAATCTGTAGCTGCCTTAATTCTAAAAGCAAGGCACATAATTAAAAAACTTAGAACTCAAACATATTTGTATATGATTAAAAAACAGAATTTAAAAAAAACCTGTAATTGACTGTGTAACAAGATGGGGGTCAACTATGAAGATGTTGGAAAGTTTGCTAGATTTAAAAGAATTTTGTTTGGAAATGTCAATTACATCAAGTGATAAATTTGAAAATTTTTCCGATTAGAGTGGACAAAAGTTAATCATATTTGCCAAGCATTGCTACCTGCCTATATATGTACAAAAAAGCTCCAACGTGAGCAACTCATACTAAGCGACTTTTGTGGTTATTGGCTTGAATGTAAAATGGATGTGAATGTTCGTGAAAAAGATCTGCTTGGAAATAACGTAATTTTAGCTGCTATTTTCCTTGACCCTAGATATAATAGATATTTATTTTATTAGGAGTATAAGTTACACTTTATGTGACTGAGTATGAAAGTTTAAACGCCGAGCGTAGCGAGGCGAGTTAAATTCATACGAGTCACATAAAGTAACTTATACTTCGGATGAAATACTATATTTTATTTTCAAACGTCATTTACATATAATGTAGGAAATGGGTAAAGATGCACTCAATAGGTACCGCAAATAATATCAGCATAACATTGCTTTGTATCCATGACTACAGTATAACTCAAAATGACAATTTCACTAAAGTACTCTTGACAATTTTCGATTTTTGTAAAGCAGTTATCTACGATCTACGGTACCGAGATGGTCCTATATACTTCAAGATACCAAATGGGAAGGAATGTACTGGTCATTTCTTGAGGAGGACTTCTTCAACTGTGTTGGCAGATTGCAGAGGTGATATTACCTGTTTAACACAAACATGGAGGGTGGAAATCTGATGCAGTTGCTGCAGGGTACCTATCGAAGAATCGTTATAGAATAAAGAAGACATTGTCACCAAGATCCTTTTGCATGATACAGTGAAAATTCATAAAGATTTCGGGAAGATTTCAGAACCCAATACAAGCCCAATGTTACAAAATGCCACTTGAAATAATTGCACGTTTAATTTTAACGTCAAGTAGAATTTTCTGCAGAAAAGGTATAGTTTTGTTTGATTTGATAAATAGAAATATAAAGTTCGTGGACGTAAATGCTAAGTGTGTATTTTGTTTTCACTAGAGTGGCGTATAAATGTTACACGCCGCCGGAGTATAACACTTATACGCCGCTCAAAATAGGTGTCAAAAAAGTGACACTTAAACCTTCATAAAACTGTCGCTATAACTACAGTTAAACGACGTTTGAAAATAAAATTATGTTAGATAAGGAGCAATGCAAAAAAGCAAAGAGTCACTTGAAGGAAGTATGGTATCATTTGCTTATGTATAAGGAAGCTATTGTTCCTTCAATAGCTGCAGAAAGTTCAACTGACACTGACACGTCGGCGGTTGATGATTTCGAGGAACTATTAAAGGAAAAGGAAAGGCAAGTTGCTGTACGAAAGTCACTGCATCCTACGAGTATTAAATCAGGCGGATCCAAATTAGTACAAAAGGAACAACAAAAACCAATTGATTGTCTTCTAAACAATTACGAATGCGAGCAACCTAGAATAAACAGGAAGAGTGATGTGTTGAAATTTTGGAGTATGAATAAACACTCGCATCCTGAATTGTACATTTTGGCACATATTGTACTTGCATCTCATGCAACGCAGGTTAGCGTTGAACGTTTATTTTCAGGCTTAAAATTTATTTTGTCTCCATTAAGAAACAAGGTTAAAGCGAAAATTTTGGAGCAACAAATTTTTATCCGCAGCAACAAAAATTTTAATAAAAAGAAAAACAAAGTTACCCAGTAAGCCCCACAATAGTGTAAAATAGTATTTTACATTATTAGCCAGGTAAGTGAGTTTTTACTGGCGATAGGAGAAGTTGACTAGCGAGCCGTTAGGCGAGCTTGTCATCTCCTAGAGCCAGTAAAAACTATTACCTGGCGTATAATGTACAATATTTTATTTGTCACTCATTTGTAAACGTAAATAATTAGTTCTTAAATTAATCTTGAAGAAATGTCTAAAATATCATGTTATCCATGTAACATAGACTTCGCATTCATTCTGGCCAATGAAATTACTAGATTACTAACTTGTAAAATTTTTACAGGTCTGCTGTCAGTTTTACAAGTCAGTAGCGTTTAAACATTACGTTTACCCGTTTGCGTTTTGTCTTGTTAATCAACGTTTACAACTGAGTAACAAATAAATTATTTAAATGATAAATGTTTTTTAGATTTTCAATTCCAATTCATACTGATGCTGCACCTCAAGATTTGGCCCAAAATAAAAGGAAAGGAGAACAGGAAGAGCAACAGGCAGCAGCAAATAAAAATAAAAAACAACGTTCTATTAATAATTATTTTCATTAATAAATAATTCAATATACATATTATAGATTTAAGTGTTAAAATTAATGTAGTACTAATAGTAGAAATGAAATTTTTTTTCTGTATGTGTGATAATATAGGTTCATCTCTTGACTAAGTCCATTGTCATTTTGAACGAGGTAAGCAGCTCAGTTAAGCAGATTTCGGTGTTTTTACTCATGCGTAATTGATAACCATTTTTCACTTGAACTCAAGGTAAATAAACCAATATGAAGTAAAATAAGTAAAAAGGTTTCTGCCCAAAGGCGAGTAACTTTAGCACATTTTCCAATTTTTCATGTATTGATCAGTACCTCCTAAAAGGTCATTTACGATATGTTTGCCTTTACTACAAGCATCTGTGCTTAAAATTTCCAATAAATATCTTAACAAATAAGAATGTTGATAATGCGCAGCCTGCGCATCGCACATTAATCGTCTAGATTTTTCTTGGCTCAGGTGCTAGAGCCATAAACTACCAAATGCAAAAACAATGAACTAAATATCTTGAAAACTGTAGGAGTAGTTAAGGCCTCGGACAGAGAAAGTGGCTACAATAGCGCCCCCTTTCCTTGGAAATGCGTTAAAAAGATTGGACACAATTACGTTTAGAACTAGAACCGTTATAAATGTGAACCAGAACCGTTATTCCAATAGGTCCGGACCGTTTGAACCGAAAAAAAAAATCGAAACCGGAACCGCAATTATGTTTAGAACCGGAACCCGGACCGGAACCGTTACAAATATTTTCCCGCTAAAAATGTCAGAACCGGAACCGTTATTTGCAATAGGTCCAGATCCCTGCTTATAGTCCAGTATGCGGAGCAGTCAGAAGGGCCGATTCCTGGAAAAGGTGATGTAAACGATTTTATCATTTTAAATGGTCCATTTGGGTCCAAAACACCTCAAAATGTTCGGTTTTTTTTTAGTTTTTCGCTTAAAACACGAAAACGGTATATATTTTATGAATAACACTGATTTAGTAAATTAAAGAAAACACAATTCTGCGTCGATCAAATGATGATCAAACAAAATCGGTCTAATAGAAAAATTTTTACAAGCGATCAAAGAACACCCATTTGTTCCAACTTTTCTAAAAAACTGAGTTAACCTTTTTTTTAATGCGTTGTGGCTCCTAAAGGAACAATAAAATCCACTACCCCCTCCCTAAAGATTGTAGGACATCACAGAGTTCAAATTGGACCAATTTTTGAAATTGGTTGGAAGTTTATGAATGGGCCGGGATGAACAGGACTCATCCAAATTGCACAATTCTGCGTCGATCAAATGATGATCAAACAAAATCGGTCTAATAGAAAAATTTTTACAAGCGATCAAAGAACACCCATTTGTTCCAACTTTTCTAAAAAACTGAGTTAACCTTTTTTTTAATGCGTTGTGGCTCCTAAAGGAACAATAAAATCCACTACCCCCTCCCTAAAGATTGTAGGACATCACAGAGTTCAAATTGGACCAATTTTTGAAATTGGTTGGAAGTTTATGAATGGGCCGGGATGAACAGGACTCATCCAAATTGCTTGAATGGCTCTCCCCACTCCACACTTTCACTGCAACTGATGCCCTCATGTCCCCAGAGGTTAACTGCCACTTGGCCTCGGAGTAGGAGCAGACATGTTGAGAAAAATGTTTAACCATGCAACTTCCAAAATGTCACTTTCAAGAGGAAAACTTTGCAACCTTCTGAGCAAAGCTACTCACCTGCGGGACACCTTCTGCGACCCCTCATGCTCTCATGAGGCTATTGAAGAAGCTGGAGGAACTCTACTAAGGCTCATACTTTCTGGCGACGCGGGTAGAAGTTTGGATGACCCAAATGAACCATTTAAAATAATAAAATCTTTTACACCAACTTTTGCAGATCAAAATTATCTGCATACTGGACTATTAGTAAATTTAATTAAGGCCTGCCTGGTGGCTGCTGTTTAGGACCAAGACCAATCGACTGACCTATCAAAGTGTTTGAGGCTTTAGGAGTAACTGACCTAACTGAAAACGATGCTGTTTATTTAACAGCTTTCAATGATCTTAGGAGTTACCCCAGCCGGCACTGCTTTGTGCTCTTGCTCCACGCTGGCTGGCGAGTCAGGTTTTATATGCCACTCCCCAGACCGCAGGAGCTCGTATCCCAGGTGAGCATGGCTGGGCATTGTTCCTGTAGCGGCTTCAGCTGCTTAACATGTACAAGATGATCGGTACAGTAGCACGACGGCGTTCCACGTTTTCGGCCCTGATGGGCCTTTCTTGATGTCCTGGTATTCGATGGTCTGTACGGCATTTTCCCAGAGATGCCCGACTCAGTTTTGCAGTGTCTTCATTGTTGGGAGCAGGTGGCGGATGTGGTCTTCCCAATGGTCGGAATAGATAACGATATCGTCTTACCTAGACTTCTTTAAGAATCCCGCTAGGACCCTGTGTCGTTAATTTTTAGAGGGTCGCCGGGGCATTTTTTAACCAGAAGGGCATCACCCTAAACTGGTATAAGGCACCGTCGGGAGTTGAAAATGCCGTCACCGGAGAGTTTCCTGGATCTGGATGTGAGGCAGGTTGGAGCTCTCGTCTTTGATTACGGCGCTGAGGCGTCGGTAATCTACGCAAAATATAGGATTGCCGTCTTTCTTTGTTACCACGACGATAGACGAACTGTATTCTTATGAACTCGTCTCAATTATTCCTATCGCCAACACTGTTTCGACTTCCTCTTTCTCTCTGTCGGGCCACGGTAAGAATCGACTCGGAATGGGACGTCCTGACGCAACCGGATCTTGTGTGTGGTGGTCGCGGTCGTAGATAGCGTCTTTTGCTCGTCGAGAGGGGTGTGGAAAGTTCGAAGTAGATCGTTTAGTTGCTGAGTAACCTTTTTCAAAGGTATACATACAGGATGGTCATTATACTGTTACAGCTGGACCAGGTGGGGCTGCATTTCGTGGGATGGCTTCGTATTTACGGAGCCATGGTTGTGTCAGTATGATTGGAGATACGTGGGCGGATACTACCATGAAAACGTCTTCTACCGTCGCGCTGCTAAAAATGGCCAATGTGAAAGCTGCGTTAATGTAGCGTTAACGGAGAGTATCCAATTTTGACATATGCCTACAAGAAAATAAAACTGGGATAATAGTAGTTTTTTATTCGATGGGATACAGTACATTAACTACTCTTTAGTTGACGAAAGGCTGTTTTGAATATCCCCCAATGTTTTCCCTTTAGTTTCCGGTATAAAAAACAAGCCAAATAAAACTCCCACGGCGCAAACGCCGGCAAAAATCCAACACGATGTGTATATCCCCCATGCGCTGGTTATCGTCGAGAATAGCTTCGAATTGAGAAAACCTACCAGGCCAGAGTAAAATCCAAAGATAAATCCCCCCACTTTTTTTGTTTCCGTGTTAAATAGTTCACCAGTAAGAAAGTATGGTAAGTGGCTCAGTCCAAATGACACTAAAACTCTATATAACGTTAAACATGTTATCGGTATAAACGCAACAGCTTCTAGGTTCACTTTTCCTTGTAAATAAAAATAGGTGCCTTCGCCTAATAGAGACACACATGCCCCAAAGGCGGATATACTGAATACCGGCTTCCTTCCTAGACGGTCAATTAATATGCTGGACAGTATCACTGAAAATAAACAGATGAACAAGACATGACATGACGATAGGCCCTTTTAAAAGGAGTCCTCCTGTGCTTCAATCCATAAATTACGTAGAGAATCTTCTCATAAAAGAGCCTCTGTAGTTTCCAAATACTTGCAGGGATTTGGACCAGACTGTAGATGACACTGGACAATTGAGGTGAAAGATTTGATTGACTGACTTCCATTATGGTTTGCATATACGCAGTGATGGCATATCCCCCGCTAAACTCCGAAATTGATTTGGCACCTGCTTGACAGTGTTAGTTCCTTCACAATCGCGCATTTCCCCGTTACCAAGCACCACCAGAAGAGATCTTCTGAAGTTGGGAGTTAGGAGTAACTCGATAAGCGATCTATCGGCTTTGTCACGACGTAAGGTTTCGTTCATTTCGCCTAGGATTCGATCTGAATTACTTGAGGATGCACACAATCGAACCAGGTTTGTGCGGGCATCCGTTTGGCGGCCCTTTTTTAATAAGTAATACGGCGATTCAGGTGCGAACGTCATGGAAACTCCCAAGATAATCGGGAAAATTCCGCATATCATAGTCAAGGCGGTGTAACCTACGAAAGGACCTACGCTAAATACTAGGACTCCGCCACACGTCGTAATCAATGCGGCTATCACTCCTAATTTGCCTCTAATGTCGTTACTTGCAATCTCGCAAATATAAATTGGAGTTGTCTAAAAAAATAACGCTAACTCGCATCTTATGCACAGAGACACTTACGGACAACGTAATACCACAACCAAGACCACTGATGAAACGACCTGCAATAAGTAGCGGTACTGAATCAGCGAACCCTATCATAATCCATGGAACAAAAAGAACCGCAGAGCTAAGTTGGAGTAGTCCCTTAGGACCTAATTTATCAAGTAATAACCCTTGAATGATACTCCCAGGTATGATGCCTAGAAACAGGGAGGCGGCCACCCATGATGCTTCTTCCTGTAAGTAGATGTGGAGACATTGGACGTTAAGGGCAGCCGACTTACATGACTGAGAGTAATTCCGATTGGGGAGTTTGAAGACGTCAACAACGGCAGCGACGGGGAAGGCCACGCAGTGCACGCGGCAAAGGTGAATGGTGCGAAACCGGCTAAAATACCTTTAGTCCTTCATCAGAAGTTTACAAGGTGGAGCTTACCAGCTATTGTGGAGAGATACTGTACGTACCTGGAATTTCTAAACAATGCCTGTAGAAACATGATGTCCTACATAACACATACGGCGGTACGAGTAGTGTACTCAAGCTTTCCCTGGGTTTATCGTTCGATTAAATGATAAGACATTAGATAGGTGATAGGAAGATTATAAATGCAAAAGAATTGAAATGTAACTGCGTGGAAGCAAGATCACTTATCGGGACTCGTATCTGGTATGAAGAAAAAACTTATATCAAGCGTTGGACGTGCCTCAACTCCTGCAGTTGCGCCTCCTGAACTTGTAGGGTGGTAAAAATAGGTATATATGTATTAACGCAACCTTGAGATCTCACAACAATCTACCTTCACCAAGGTCTTTTTCGCCAGCGAAATTCCAAGACACGACCTTGCACAACAACATCACAACCATACTGCACTGCTAGAAAGCAGCACCAATATAAACTCTCAAGACACTGAAACCAAACTCAAACACACTTTCGGCACCCCCACCATTACCACACTATAATTGTCCGGTCCCACCCCGCAACGTTCCACTCAATACCGATCCCTCTCCTGCATTTTTTAACGCAAGTCGATCCCAAGCAACCAACTGTTTCTTCTTCACCCCATTCCCAATCCACTATTAAACTCCCTCCTTTCCAACGGCCTCTTCCTGTTCGAAAACATACTCCCTCAAGATGTACTGTTCCACCTACACAGAGTGGGACACACTACCCCACGCCTGCCCTTCCCGCATCCCTAACTGTCCCGCTGTAGTTAAAACCATCGCGGCTCCATCTACCGACTCTTATTCCTCCGGTCCTGGCTCCCCCGACATGGAATACTTCCTTCGTATGGCAGACTTCCTTAAAGTTTTTACGCACTCCTTTGATCTTCGGGCCGCCCATGGCCATAACCACCCCCGTTTAATTTAAATAAGTACCCTAAGTTAGCTCTTCCCCATTCTCTTCCAAACCTCCTCTTCCACATACAATGGATCTCGTCGTAAGAACAATTAACGCCCGCGGTGTCAGACGCACACGCAAGAACCTGCTCCTTTCGATAGCATCCATGTCCTACCGCATGTCCAACATCTAGAATGCGTGACCTCTTCTGTTCACTTTCCTAATCTGAAGTACCGTTTCCTGTTATTACAAACTCCGCTCCGGGTCTGCCTAGCACGCCAAACAGCTGAAATTCGATTCCACCGTAACGCATACCGTCCTCATGGCGACTTCAACGCCGAGCACATAAGGGTTTGGTAATTCCACGACCAATGGTTCTAAACTTACTGACCTACTAACCAGTCTGCCGCTCCGACGGGCAAGATCAGTCCCACCTTCTTCAACCACCGAGGAACCTCCATTATTGACCATATTTTATGTACTGTAATGTTCCTGGGGTCTATCAAGGGTTGACCGGCAAAATGATCTCCCACATTTTGCACCGCCACTGTGCCAGAATCACTGAAGAGAGGGGGAGCTTAGTGTAGTCGGTTGGTAGCTCTGGCCTTGCCATTTCAGTTGTTAGTCATGAATTGGACGGGTGAGCATCGTGCCTTTGTTATTGAAACGTTTATGAAAAGTAACGAATCTGTGATTACGACGCAAAGAACATTTTGTACTCACTTCGCGCTTGGTAGACATGCTCCAGTTCCAGATCGCAAAACAATACTGTTGTGGGTTTCAAATTTTAGAGCTACAGGTTCAGCCTTAAAAAGAAAATCAACTGGTAGACCCAGAAGTGTCCGGACACCTGAAATTGTTGCAGCTGTAAGAGAAGCAATTGAACGATCTCCTAGCCGTTCAGCTGTGAAACATGCCCCTGCTTTGCATTTGTCAGATCGTTCTCTAAGAAGAATTTTACACACCGATCTGAAGTTCCACCCATACAAAATGATGATCGTGCAACAACTTAGTGAACGGGACTGGGAGAATCGCAGAACATGTTCCAACGATATTCTTCAAAACGTCCCACAAAATGCTCTTTTACAATCGAAAAAAATGGTCGCCATTTGGACTCTGTAATTTTCAAAACTTAATAAAAACAAATGGCATAGCATACATTTTCAGTTAATAAAGACAAAATCTATATAACATTTACAATGGCGTTTTTATTACAGATTAAAATGTGGGAGATCATTTTGCCGGACCCTGTATATTAACGCACACAACAAGACCATGCCAGGGAAACCTTCTACGGGACTAAAACCCTGAAATAGGCCACACAAATACATGAAATAAATCACCTACAGCAATAAAATGCAAGAGAAAATACACATAAATAAAACATCTCAAATTGTATGATGAAAATCAGATAATCAAATCAAATGCAATTAAGCAAGTTCATAAAAACAAAATACACAAGACATCATAAATGCAGTGGAAAACATGATAAATCGATACAGTACAAAAACACATCGAAATACTTGTACAATCAATTGAGCTAACACAACTCGTAAAATAGTAAATTGCATGTACATAGGAAACATGTAAATGGTGTGGCTCTACTCCGGCTTTTCGTTAACATAATTTAATTTAACACGAAAAGTCGATCATCGCTCAAGCAGAACATATTTTAAATAGAGGAAATGTTAATGAGAGGGCCCCTACTCGCATTGCTAAGATGCTAAGAACTGCAATCCGCACGAGACGAGTAGGCAACAGATACAGCGAAAGATCGAACTGTATTAGGTACCTACTCCACGGAGACAGAATGAACCACTCGCACACACACAAAAAACGAAACATCAAATACGAAAGCCTCCCTTCGTATAGCTACCGCACAAGAACTGCAGCGCGTCACGAATCCGAAAGTAACAGATACAGCGACCAATCAAACTGTATTAGGTGCTTCCCTCACGGAATAGTTACGGATCAATCGAACAGAGCAACATCGCACTGATAATCAACTCCTCGTGAATACAGAAATAAAAACTTAATTAAACAAAATAATGGCATAATCATCTGTAAAGTATAACAAACACGATTCATCTAACTGTACTCAAAACAAAGGCATGGAGTACGCCATGATTCAGATATCGTAGTAGATATACCGCAAACTTTCCCTATTCTTCTAGTGGGCCAATTACCATTAAAACCCAAACCATTTTATTTCGGCAGCGGCACCCCAATTTCGGGGAAGTGGACAAACAATCCAGCGACCACATTAACTTATCCCTACAGGATACCTACCTTCCCCATTTTGATACCATTAAATACCTCGGCATTACTTCCTTCCGAACCCTTAACTGGAAAACCGACTTCGACCGAACCTTAAAAAATGCGCAACCGCACCAACCGTCATCCCAACACAGTCCAGCACCCTTATAAAACCTTCATACGCCCGATCATCGATTACCGCCCTCCAACTCCAGGTCCTGGTGGACTAAACAAGTCTTCCACGATGGCCATTTTAGCACATTTTCCATGAGACGTTCAAACATCGCCGGTGCGTTACACAATCCAAACGGCATGACGATCCGATCGTAAATTCCGTTTTTTCCAGATCTTCTGGAGTTCACGTGCCAATAACCGATTTTTAAATCCGAAGTCAAGGAAAACTTGGAGCCGGATAGCGTGTCAAGTGTGTCGTCAATTCGTGGAAGTGGATAAGTATCTTTTTTAGTTTGTTCGAGCGGGTATATCTACAAGTATGGACACTGATCTACAAAATTGAACTATTAGTATTGAGTCTGCGGCCTTAACATAGCAGGTCGATGTCTTTTCATCGACCTTGTTTTAGTCTTCCTTTCCTGCTTTTATTGCGGATGCAATTTGGCAGGTCACCCACGAGCCTTTCGACATCGCTTCTGGAAATGCCCGATTTCTTCACAATTCCAACAACGGAACTGAACTTCAGCAATTAATGCGGTCAGCAATTTGTTGTTGTTTTGAACGGTGTTCTCCCCTTCTACAACTCTAACGCTACCGCTTTCCTTCATTGTACCTTGAGGTGATTCTACTCCGAGAGCTCGAGCTAATGCGTTAGTCACCATTTTTGGTGCTCATTGTCAACTCGCTTGATCGTTAAAATACATATACAGAGGCACTATCTGCAGAGATCAATATGATTTTGAGATACAAACGTTGAACTCAATAAAAAAGAGTGCTTCTACTAAACAAACGAGATTTATTTAAATAACAGGATTCTTTGAATCCATATCGCTAGTTTTAATACTATTAGAAGACAATAGAGTCTTTTGTATATCCTCGAATGATTTACCCTTTGTCTCTGGCAACACATACATAGCAAAAAATACACCCAAAAATGAAGCACACGCAAACGCCCAGAACAGTGTATACAGCCCCCAAGACTCGAACACACTACCACAGATTTTAACGGTCACAAACACGAGAACGGAAGATATACATGTAACAGTAGGACCTCCAATTTTTTTTGTTCTGGTCGTAAACAATTCGCCAACTATAAGGTTTGGTACATAACAAAGTCCCACGGATAGAAATAATTGGTAAGCGATTAAGAACACCACAGGCAGGAACTTCACAGTGTTTAACTTGTATATTCCGTTAAGATAAAAGTAGGTACCACAAAGCATTAGAGTGATTCCAGATCCGAATGACGATATGCCTAGCATCCATTTCCTTCCAATTTTATCCACTAGCAATCCGCACAAACAAACTGAAACATTCGATTATCATCATTCTTTAATGTTACATACCATACTTACGTGAAGGAATCTGGGCAATACCAAAAATAACGGTTATTAGTTCTGTCGGTAAGCTACTGTCGGCTGTCTTCAAGATGATCTGAAAGTATGGTGGGATAAAACCAAGACCAGAAAGAATCCCAATAGACTGAGCCCCTAAAAGTATAAACTTAATAAACAACGAATCCTTCACGTAACAGAATTACCAACGATAATTAGCAGCGATTTTCCAAAGCGAACATCAAACACCAACGACAGCAAGTGTTTACCACGACTGTCACGCTTTAATGTTCCCTCAATTTCTTCAAGCATAGATTCTATTTCAGAACGAGTTGTTGCACTGCACGCCAATCGTCTCAAGCATAATTCAGCGTCCTTGCACTGGTTTTTCTTCATTAAAAAGTATGGAGAATTTGGCATGAAAGGAAAGGAAATAATGAAAATAAGAGGAAAGATTACGGAGCATATAATAAGAGTGGTATACGTTAAATACGGACCACCGCCATACATAAGTAAGACGCCTGAAATACCTCCAACCATGGGAATGACTCCCAATTTGCCACGAATATCTTTGCTTCCGATTTCACATAGGTAAATGTGTATACACTAAGATTACACTGCAATTCAGTTGTCCGTATAGCTGCTTTTCTTACCATGACCGCAATTCCATCACCTACACCTGCCACAATGCGACCGGCTACAAGCGCGGCGAAAGACTTTGCCGTTCCCAGAATGGTCCAAGAGATGACCGTAAATACAGCCCCGATCAAGAGTATGCATTTTGATCCCAATATATCAAGAAAAATTCCCAATAATATACCTCCTATTATCATACCCAAGCTTAAGCTTGACATTACCCAGGACGCTTCTTCCTGAAAGTTATTCTAGTTGAAGCTATTAAACGGATTAACTTACATAGTTCAGCGGTCTTCCAATTGGGGAATCTTCAGATAATAACTTAGGTAGCGTTGGTGTACCCCATACGAGGTTTGCATACAGAGATAGTTGTAGTATACCAACTGCATCCATGAAAGAAATTGATTTTAAATTAACGGGGACTCGGAAGAAGAGCTGGGCAGAATACTTTCATTTAAATAGTAAATACTTTACACAAATCAAAGGTATTTGAATACTAAATACTTTTACGTCCAGCACAAGCGAATACGAGATACAGATACATTGAAAAGTATTCAAATACTTAAAAAAATAAGTATCCAAATAGTTTAGAATGTATTCGAATACTTTCAAAAGTATTCTAATACTATCAAAGGTATTCGAATACTTTTCAGTATTCGAATACTTGTCACTCTCAAATACATTAAAAATTTATAATAAAAATAGTATACTAAGTCTTAATACTACTTAAAAAATCAAGTTATACTTTGTACCTATGGGGTTAGCTTTTTTTATATTTCTATTGTTATATACAAATTTAAGGAGAGTAAAAGCGTAATATTATTATTATTATATTATTATAATAATTATAGTAATTTCAAACAGTTCCAAGATTGGGCTACTAGTTCAAAAGTTACAGCCCTTTGAATTTTCTTTCGAAATTGGTTTCTAGTCTATAACTTTTGATTGAGAAGTCTGATCGAAAAAGTACGAATTGTTTTGGATTCTACGCACCAAAATTAATAAGAAAAAGTGTTTTCCCGAGAAATTTTGGTGCAGTCGATTTTTGGTAAAAAAGGAAGGTTATACACTGCCTTTTTTTGAGCCCCGAAAAAAAAATTGTCTCAGATCGACCCGGAAAAAAAATTTTCTTATAGAATGTGGCCTGTAGAATCCATAATTTCAAACAGTTCCAAGATTGGGCTACTAGTTCAAAAGTTACAGCCCTTTGAATTTTTTTCGAAATTGGTTTCTAGTCTATAACTTTTGATTGAGAAGTCTGATCGAAAAAGTACGAATTGTTTTGGATTCTACGCACCAAAATTAATAAGAAAAAGTGTTTTCCCGAGAAATTTTGGTGTAGTCGATTTTTGGTAAAAAAGGAAGGTTATACACTGCCTTTTTTTGAGCCCCGAAAAAAAAATTGTCTCAGATCGACCCGGAAAAAAAATTTTCTTATAGAATGTGGCCTGTAGAATCCATAATTTCAAACAGTTCCAAGATTGGGCTACTAGTTCAAAAGTTACAGCCCTTTGAATTTTCTTTCGAAATTGGTTTCTAGTCTATAACTTTTGATTGAGAAGTCTGATCGAAAAAGTACGAATTGTTTTGGATTCTACGCACCAAAATTAATAAGAAAAAGTGTTTTCCCGAGAAATTTTGGTGTAGTCGATTTTTGGTAAAAAAGGAAGGTTATACACTGCCTTTTTTTGAGGCCCGAAAAAAAAATTGTCTCAGATCGACCCGGAAAAAAAATTTTCTTATAGAATGTGGCCTGTAGAATCCATAATTTCAAACAGTTCCAAGATTGGGCTACTAGTTCAAAAGTTACAGCCCTTTGAATTTTCTTTCGAAATTGGTTTCTAGTCCACTTTTGATTGAGAAGTCTGATCGAAAAAGTACGAATTGTTTTGGATTCTACGCACCAAAATTAATAAGAAAAAGTGTTTTCCCGAGAAATTTTGGAGTAGTCGATGTTTGATAAAAAAGGAAGGCCCTTGCGAAGTATTCGAATACTAAATATTTGTGAAAGTATTTGAGTTACAAATACAAATACTGCTTCCATAAAATTATTTAATTACAAAGTATTTGAATACTTTAAAGGATTTGAATACTAATAAGTTTTTACAAAATCGAATACTGCCCAGCTCTGCTCGGAAGGAATCTTGCTGTTTTTTATTAAGAAACTTACCCCAAGCAGCTGCAATGTACTGAAGAAATCTCGTGTTCTTGCGTATGTGTTCAAAAGGCATTTAACTTGCTTTTGTATCTATAGTTAATACACAACCTGCAAAAAGGAATTTATGGATAAATGAAGTAGGTAGTTGCAACGTTTCAGCGTGTGTGTCAGGGCAACGTAAGTGTTATTCACAGGTAGCCGTCAATAAATAACCCAATTGCAAAGTTCCAGTCCGCTTTACTTTGTAACGATCGCGATATATTATGTTGTTAATTGATTTTGCGCGAAAATAACCAAAATCAAAAGCTTATCAGTGAGGTCGCATACTACGAAGCAATCATATCCGGAACAAAACCACGAATACGGGGGGTAATATAGGCAGTGACCGGGGTATGTATAACCAAATAAATACCACCAGCATTGCAAAATTATGCGCAGACACCCTTTGCAGATCGTTGAACAACCCCATTCTCAAACGGCAACGACGCTACCGCATTGGCAGATAACCAAGCCGCATCCATGGCGGCCATTAATCTCCACGTGCCTCTTATCGTATATTGGACATGTTCATTCTTTACCTTTTGGATTCAAAATTTATAATCATTCAAATAATCTGCCACAATTTCGCTCTTCGAGCTTTCTTGTAAGTTGATGCAATTTGATCAAAATTTTTCTTCGGCAATTTTTTGAAGTCGCCTTGGAATGAGTACTCAGCATACCCCGGACCCGTGGCATTTGCACCTGCTTACCTCCCGCAACGGCCACACCTATCCACACCCCTGATGTTCTTTTAGCCTACCCATCCCAAATGTTAAAAATTCTTCAATCATGTCAATTATGCATCAATGTAAACGTTGATTATAATTCATATCACGGACTAATTTGTATAATATCCTTTGAATATATGATATGGAAATACTGGAATGATATGGAGTTGATATCCACATCCCATGAGCACTGATTATACTTTTGTGCGTGCAAGTTTCGGAACTTTTGTAATACACCAAATATTTTCATTTCCTTGATAGATTATGTTTTCATAACACTGCGATTGAATTCCAAACATAAATTTTTCCTTGTCTTTATAATTTTCTAGAAAGTTCACACGTATTCCCGTCAATCCCAAGGGTTGTAACGTTTGCAGCACACCAAATATTTTTATCATTGATCAATTTTGTTAAAATTATCTATAACCAACCCTGCAACTGCCTCTAAAAATAAAGTCCCTCTCGTTTAATCAAAAATTCCTTCTAAATGAATTCAAACAATCCTACCCCATTCACCCAATTTACAAGATCGCTTACTTTAAGAATATTTTGATTACTCACAGTCCGATAGATATTTTCAATTCAAATTTTAAAAAAATTGCGTTACCGTAATTATAGTTATGTTATGGGGAATCAATGACTTCCCTATGGTCAAATCAATACCGCTTTCCTCAAAAGGGATGGTCCCTAACTGGATAATATAGAAACGGAACTGGATCTCCGGGGGGAATACTGTTGAAGTTTTTTTGAATTTTTGTACTATTATAATAGGGAAAGATGTGGGGACTCTTGGGAGCGGGTCAAGGTCACGCGGTTATCAAAAAGTCAGGACTACTCTCTCTCCTTATGGATGGGGGCACAAAATAGCGGGTCAAGTCAATGACTGGTCACATCCTTACGGACGGGGATGCAAAAGAACAAGTCAAAAAAGCCAGGTCAACTCTCCTTGCGGATGAGGATCTGCATAAGTATGGGGACGCAAAAGAGCACCTTGGGGTTAATGTCCGGTCACATCCTTATAGATAGGGACACAAAAGAGCGGCTCAAAAAGGTCAGGTCTACTCTCCTTACGAATGGGGACGCAAAAGAGCTATCTGCTTATGTATGACTTGGGATCATAATATGAAATATATGTATCTAGCATGGGAGAGTCTAATGGAGTTAGGTATGGAATTAGTTGTTAACTCAATTGTTTGACTTCTGAAGAATTCGCAGCCACTGGTAATCCAAAACTGCATTTTGCTACATTCCGTGCAGCTCTTTCACCAGGTCTGCCGGCGTAGCGATGTGTGCCTCAATATGATCGTCGTGCTCAAGACGAAGACGGCAAACAAGATTATCCCAAGTCTTCTTTGCTGTTTCGGCTTTACGAATATGAATCGGCGGGTTGTCTCCCAACATTTATCCTTTATCAATAGCAACTTCGTTTTAAAGCTCCAATTGGCATAGTTAGAAGCATTCAATTTGCGGAACGACACCAGATTTTCAGTCACGAGAGACCAGTCGAAAAAATTAACCGCACGAACAACGACAGAAATCCTCGAAATCCTCCGGTATGCTACACCAATAACCTTTTGGGGCAATCAGACGGACGCGAAAACGTAGTAGAAAACAGATAAAATGAAATTACATTTTCTTTTTACTTGTCAGAAACTTACATTAACAAAAATGCATTAAAAAAACACAATAGTATACTGATGTACACAAAATATGAAACAAAGTAGTGTTGCAACTAGTTGTTGTTGTTTGAGTGTCTAACACGAAACACGTAAATTCGGTGCTCTCTGAATAACGCGTAATAAAATACTTAAATATTGTTATTTTGTAATAAAATTATGAAACGGAAGTAATATTAGTGGGCGGTTTATACTAATCGAAAAATAGCAGTACCTAATTCAGTGCGATATTAGAGGAATAATTACATTAATGTAAGTACCTTTCCAAAAGCTACACCGATTTATCTGAAAGGCGTTTAACCTCTTGTGATAAAGATAAACTTGTATAGGTATCAACAACGCTCCGTTTGTAAATAAAATTGCAGTGCCCAATCTTGCATTTTAAGCATAGTAGGTACACACGCAAAATAAACTATTTCCCGAACAGCGAAAATCTGTAGTATTGCACATAAAAGAAAATGGGAAGCGAAGGCAGTGAGTTGGTCAAGTTGTTCGAAAGCTTCAAAATCGAAATGCGAGAAACTCTCCGAGAAGAAATTAATAAATTTAATATACCGGCACTGCTAGAACAACATGTGCAAAGGTACGAGGAATTAAAAAGCGATAATAAAAAACTGAATGAAATTGTCCAATCACAACAAAAGGCGATAGACAATTTACGAAGATATAACAACGTAATCTTCTACGGGATCCAAGGCACAAGCGAGGAAAATCAAGAGGACTTGGAAAGTACGATCCAATAATGTAATAGAGGTAACAACAACGAGCGACAGTATTAATTACGTGCGACGACTTGGTAGAAAGGATGTCAAAAATCGACCCGTGCTTGTGGCATGCGTCTCCAACATTCTCAAGAGAAAAATTTTGAGGAACGCCAGAAAGCTTAAGGGCAGTAAAATATATCTCTCGGAGGACTACGATGAAGAAATGCGGGAGCGGAGAAAGAAAATGATTAAACTAAGAAACATCTACAGGGAAGCAGGTCAGATTTGCCAGCTGAGGAGGAATGGAATAATGCTCGATGGAAAATTTGTCCACTTCAAGGAATTACATCTGGAGGATCAGGAGACCGCTGGGAATGATGAATCTGCCGAAGAAGTTTGCAAAGATCACACAGCTCGACCAGAGTCAAGGATCAAGAAGAGGAAAATCAATAAGGAATCACCAATTCGCAAACCTACTCAACCTCACTTGAGAGAATTTTTTCGTTTCCGAAGCTATTCAGAATCCGCATCTACAGGAGGCAGCAAATCTCAAAACTAATATGGAAGAAGCAAGTGCAGTGGACATTGTGGCCTATAATGTGGCAGGATTAAAAAGTAAGTGGAACAATTTAGAATTCATACATTTTTTAAGACAGTTTGAGGTAATTTTTGTTATTCGAATGTTTTTTAGTCGATGAAGAAAGGTTTTCGCTTGGTTTCTCTAAACTTGTAAGAATGATAGGGGAGTATAGCTTAAAATTTATACCGGCTGTTAGGCATAGCAAATACGGGCGTGCTAGTGCAGGATCAATATATGGGATTCGGAAGGACAGTTGGAGTAGTACTATGTTTAGTTTTATAAGTTTGTCAAATGTGGATGTTATACAAATAAGAAGTCAGGCGGGTGTCTTGTATGTTCTTCCAATCTACTTGAATTGCAACAATTGGAAGGTTGAGTTTAATGCGTTGTCTAGCTTATTAGATGATAATCCTAACTCTCAGTTTATTTTGATGGGAGACTTTAATAGTCGTATTGGTACACTACAAATTATACCCCAATATGTAGCAGAGAGCTCTAACCTTGAAATTCATAGAAATTCTAAAGATAATATACTTAACACCAATGGAAAGCACCTGCTGTCCCTATTGGAGGATGTTAATTTAATAGTTCTAAACGGACGAACTTTAGGTGACTTGGCAGGAGAATATACCTACTTAGGAACGACAGGGTGTTCCGTAATAGACTTGTGTGCGGCCTCCATTAATGTGCTACCTTATATACAAAGTTTCCGTGTGTGCGAACAATTTTTTTCCGATCATTTACCCATAGCCATCAAGTATCTAATGGAAGCAGTACGACGTAATGTCCTGCTACCGCTTGTCCCTAAATTAAAGTGGAATTCAAATATGAGAGTCAGATATATTAACGAATTAGATAGCTTACTCGACGAGTATCCAATAAGATATACACCAACTGCGGAACAATTAACAAAAGTGATAGTTGACACAGCACGTAAATTTGACATGACATACAAAAACCAAACGTACGTTTATAAACAAAAGTGGTATGATAAAGAATGTAAAATAACACGTCAGAACCTATATAATTTGCTGCATATTTTTAGAAGAACGAATTCAGCCACTATTAAGGATTATTACCACAAAACTAGAAATAAGTACAAAAACTTATGTAGTTCAAAGAAAAAAAGTTTTTATGGAGATGCAATTGCAAAATTTAGTCGGGTAAGGGATGCGAAAGTGCGCCAGTTCAAGAACACAAGGTATAACTTTCACAAGGATATTAACGCGGCGGAATGGAATACCCACTTTAAAAACTTACTAAACCCATCCTTAACTGCAAGTCGAATAGCCCACGCCGAGCCGCTCATTAAGAACGTTTTATTGGATGGTGCATCCAAATGAATGAGCTATTAGCGGCGTTGAAAAGAGCCAAAGACAATAAAGCTCCAGGAAAAGATAGAATCCCATATGAGTTCTACAAAAATAGTTCAGTGACGTTTTTAGAAACTTTACTTAAATGTTTTAATGAAATTTATGTACCTATCTGGAATCATACCGAACAACTTTAAAGAATCGATCATATTCCCAATTCACAAAAAAGGAGCGATGAATGATCCAAATAACTATAGGGGAATCTCATTCGGAAACACAGGGAGTAAATTATTTGCTGGTTTATTGCTGGACAGAATTACGTCGTGGACGAATCGGGAAAGCATACTAAAAGAATTCCAAGCGGGATTTAATTTCAATTTCAATTTCAATCTTTATTTGTCCGTATACCAAAAATAGGTTTTGACACGTCAGAAAATATGGTAAATATTAAATTAGTACAATGCATATATATATATATAAAAGGAATAATAAAAACAGTTTAAAATTTCAAATAAATAAAAGCTAGACAGACCATGTGGCTAAAACAGAATATAGATTATAAACAATTTAAAATTTTAGTTAAAAAGAGACAAAACAGAGATAAAATATAAACAAGTAAAGGTAAAAATGACTAAAGAGAATACTACTACACAGGTACAAAAAATTCAAGTAAACAAACAATGAAATAAATAAATATCATTAAAATTATTGAATAGATCTCCAAGGCGTATGTAAATATTCACTAACGTTATAAAAAGAATGACTTAATAAGTGCGCCTTAACGACTCTTTTAAATTTATAAAAATTGTAAGGTTTGATACAATCAGGAACGATATTGTATAAGTCGACCCTAAGACTGTTATTTTTAGACCTACTTAGTTTATAATAGGGCGTTTTTATTTTTTTTGCTCCTCGTGTAGAATAGTTGTGAGAGAAGTCATTGGTTTCAAATTTATTTTTGTTTTTATGAATTTCCAATATGGTGTGATATATGAAAATTGTAGATGGAAGAGGCATAATATTTAATTTTTTAAAAATAGGTCGGCAGTGAGCACGATAGTCAGCATTTACGATTATACGAATTATTTTTTTTTGCAATAAAAACGCCTTGCTCGCTTTGGAAGAGTTACCCCACAAAATTACACCATATTGTAAATGTGAATGAACTAAAGAAAATAGCACGATCTTAGGGTGGCTATACAAAGTGATCGTTTTAAATTCCTTAAAATAAATAATGATTTGGTCAATGTGATTGCTCCAAGTGAGTTTTTCATCAATATATATGCCTAAAACTTTAACACACCTGCCGGTTGCAACCTTATTGTTTGTGGAGAGGGTAATTATGTGAGTTTTATCTTCATTTAATTTTAAGTTGTTCTTATTAAACCAGGTTATTCCTAATTGTATTAAATTATGACTTTTAAGGGCTAGAGTTTCGATATTTTGGTCCGAAATCAGTAATGAAGTATCGTCAGCATATGCAACAGCGTGATTAGGATGTATATATTCGAAAAAGTCATTAATGTAAATAATGAACAGTAAAGGCCCTAATATGGACCCTTGAGGGACTCCATGCTTAGTATGGAAATCTTACTCTACGATTGACAACATCTTTACTTTGATGAGTATAATCAAGATCCATTTAAGCAGGAAAAGGCAAAAAGTGTTTGCTTTTTTCGTTGATCTATCCGCTGCTTTCGATAGGATAGACAGATTCGCATTATTTTACAAGCTCATGAATCTGGGCATGTCCAGTAAAATAGTCACGGTTATTAGAAATATGTACAGAAATACTTCAGCGTCAGTCTGGTGTCAGGGAGGTTTAACCAAGGCTTTTGAAACAGCTATGGGTGTAAAACAGGGGTGTTTATTGAGTCCCTTACTTTTTTCACTGTTCATAAACGATATTGATGATTATTTGAATGGGGGTATCAGAATAAATTCCACCACAATCAAACTACTAGCGTATGCAGACGATCCGGTACTTTTGGCATCGGACAAGTATAACTTGCAGAAAATGATCAATGAACTAGATAGATATTGCAACATGTGGAATCTGAAAATAAACCTTTCGAAATCAAAAATTGTCGTGTTCCGGAACGGCGGGCGACGAAGCGAAGAGGACAAATGGTTTTATAAATCCGAACAAATACAGGTGGTCAACAGTTATAAGTATCTGGGAATTACGCTTACCTCAAAATTGTCTTTGGAAGATCACTTTAAAGAGAAAGTAGAAAGTGTAAAATTTGCTATAAATTCGTTTAACCAATTAATTTTGGACAACAAAATTCCTTTTCAATCAAAATTGGACATCTTCAATGCTGCATGTCGGTCAATTGTGTGCTACGTATCACAGGTATGGGGCTTCCTCAATCATAGAACAGTAGAGATACCGCTTAAATTCTTCGTAAAGAAATGCCTGAGGCTACCTAGGAATACGCCAGACTACATGATTTATTTGGAAACCGATCTTTACCCCACGTATTTGTACACGCTCCATCTTCATTTCAACTATATTAGAAGATGCCTAAAATTACCAGGTACGCGTTATCCCAACATTCTGGCGAAGGAGATCATTAAAATGAAAATATTTTGGTACGCTGATTGGAACATCCTATGTGTTAAATATGGCTTCAACACCAATGATCTTATCAGTGGGAGTATGGAGGCAAGTGTAATATTAAGTGCGCTGAAAGACGATGTTAAAGACTAAAAGCGGTTAATAGTATCAGACATCCCCTATACAAAGAACTGGATCAACTTAACAAATATGTTTACTCTAATCTTGTTGGCAATTATATTAGCTGGATTTTTAAAGTCAGGGGGGAATTGATATATCTAAATAAATACAATTACGAACAAATAAAATTATGCTCACTATGTAATTTTCAGGAAGATGAAGACATATTTCACTTTGTTGGGCTTTGTCCAATATTGAAAACAATTCGTAAAAAATACCTACATAAAATGTGCTGACACTTGTTGAGTTCAAAGAGTATTTAAACGGTAAAGACTGGATAGCACTCGCAACTTATTGTACATTTGCATGGAAGTACAGATATTCTTTTGTTCAGGAATTTAACTACTAATTTCACGTTTATAAGAGTTGTGCTTCTTTTTCTTTTTTTTAATTTCTTTTTCATAAAATGAATAAGGCAACAACCCCTCAGGCGGTCATAATGATGACCATGAGTATGTCTCTTACATTAACTTTCATTTCTATTATAAAATATACTTATGTTGTAGTTTATATTAATAAAGACTGTTATTATTATTATTATAGTGTTGCAACTAATCTCCATAATCCCTACTTTCTTAATTTTGCAAAAACCTCCTACAAAATGGTGCTAATGAGTTAAAGCGGCCATCTTTAACCATTAACTAATAGAGCGTGCCTACTTAACCTAATCACGGGCGTATGAAGGACATTAATCAAAACTCGCCAGATTTCAACTGTTTTGCTCACGTAAAAGACATTAAGATTGCGTTATCGACCGTCAGATTGTCACCAGTACCTTTTCTCGTACAATTAATTATTATTATTATTAATTAATTAATTAGCCAGTTACGACGAATCCAGTAGCCATTGCCATGGCCAAGTGATAAAAAAAGTTTAGTGCCAACATTCTTCGCCAAAGAATAGCAAGGTCAGAATAAATTTACTAAGAAGATGTACTTCAGCTCGATATCATAAAACCTCCCATTAGTAAATGGACAATTGAATAACCCAGCAGTTTTGTTTTTCATACGCCAGCGACATACAATTATTTACCAGCTTGCGTTGTTTTTTACGGAACAGTTTTGTCCTTATGGAGTAATCTGACCAGTAAAACATCAAGCAGAATTAGGGAAAGCAGTCTAGAAAGGCCAGTTGCCAAAATTGTTCCGTGAAATCTATCAGAAAAGGGGAGAAGGGTGCAGTAAATCGAAGTAGATCTGCGAAGTTTGGTTGACACAGCAATCGTCCCGAGCCAAGGACGACTTCAACCGGCCGCAATAGAAATAAAAGTACCTGTTGTTTTTCTTCCATTCCCGTGAGTCGACCTCTTCAGGAATGTTAGAATCACTTTGAACACGAATCTTTTATGCAAAATCAAACAAATCGGCGGCTATGGTTACACAATGCAAATAATAAGAGTTGAATGTATCACATTGACAGCCGATTTTCTCCTTTGGAAGGGTGCAGCAATTTAGAAAATTGGATGGTGGATCGCCTTGTATAATATCGGACCTTTTGTATCGCCAGGTAAAAATTTGGTTACTCGTTGAAAGGGATCTCCAAAGGTGGTTGACGAATTTAAAAACCTTCACGTTTCTCGCATTTTATTAGTTGAAATTTGATTTATTTACTGGAATAGTTACCTACCAACCTTGCGCAGTATGAAAATGTTCAAAATTACCCTTATAACTTAGGGTTTTGACAGCCAACAAAAGCACGAATGAATTGTCTTTAACCTTTTTACCGGTTGCCGTTTAATGTCAATCTAATAACACAAGAGAGGTACACAGTTTTGATTGATAAACTGTTTTTTTTTTCATGTAACTAGCCACTTCAAATATAGCGCAATGAAACGTTTTGCACCTTGGAGCTCAGCGCTTTCGTGGTAACAATTCATTGAAATGGGAGCATGCGAATTAGATAATACTACGAAACGAAGTTATTCGGTTACACTTTGAAATGTAACATTTTGCACTATTCACGGTTGAAAATTATATCAGTTCCTCTTTCTGCATAAACCGGCCACTTGTTATTTGTTAAATTTAAAATATAACTTCCGCAATAAACGCAAGAGAGTTCCAGTGTTTCAAGTAAATTTAAACCGACCTGAATGGTTGATTTTTGTTTAACAACTTCATATTACATTAATACCAAAGGAATTTTTATACGTGCTTATCAATCCACTCTCTCCGATTTTTTTAATATTATTTATCATTATAAATACACTTTCGAAAGGACATATTGGCATAAGGTGGGGAAAACGTTTCTCAGGAACTAAAGTGAATTAACGATAAGATATGTTGGAAATACATATAACTGACAATGTCTTAACTTTCGTCATGCACCAAATTTTCCGAAATAAAGTACAAAGGATTTGTACTGGATTTAAGATCGAAAAAAGTGAGAAATCTGAATTCACTGACAGATATGATATAATTACACAAATAAAATAGAAGGTTTAGCTATAGTTAAAACAATGTAGCAAACTAATTGGACAACCACGAGTAATAATATGATACTTACCACCAACCCTAACCCAACACGATAGGATTTCTTGACGAATGAAAGATGTATGGGAGTGCATTCACTCGAGAATGTTAAAGTACATACTAAAATGCAATCCGTGGTTTCAAGTGGTTTCATGGGACCTTAATCTAAAATAGGAATCCAAACAAAGAGATTCAAGCTAAGTGCATCGTATTATTGGCATAAGATAACGATATCCTGAGCATATTGCATCGATATAAATTACTCTGTTAACTCTAATCTAAATGACTTAGCGTTGCAAGATTAATACAAGTCATCTCCAATGGATCGAATTAGGGTGAAGATTATTTGCGACTACCACAGCAGGTTGTCCAGGCCTGTAACCAGGGGTGACCAGGTGGGGCTGAGAACGTGGTCTTGCCCCCATTGGAAATTATAGTTGATGGTTCCTTTACAAAAGTTACAGTAGAAGTTTTTATCGAAAACTTTTAAAGCCCCCCCCCCCCCTAGAAAAATGCCGGCCACCCTGTTTCTTCATTCTGGCTACGGGCCTGTGGTTGCCTCGTGGAAATTGGCGGTATAAGCTTGTTGAAAGCTATGTCGGCTGCTGCTGTCCAAGAATGAGGGCATGCGGTGGCGACGGGCTGAGCCCAACCGGTCATCCTCACTCACTTATGTAGGCAAAGTTGCTCAGGCACAAGTGGTTTTTGCTGGCTGTTGGTGCTTCTTATAAACAGTTCGCCGTCGAGGCATCTGGTGCTGCGGCCGGTGTTGCAACTCCTTCTCTGACGTTCGTAATACAGCGAGGATTCTATGGGCGGTCCGTGCAGAATTTACATCACGATTATGTATTCTATTGCAGCAAAGAGGGGCCTTAAATAAAATACGAAGCGTTGCTTTTAACTTGTTGCAACAAACCATTGGATTTTCCCTCCTACTATGCAAGGTGGCAAATTTTAAACTCCAACAAAAACATGATACCTGCAAAGACATATCTAGTTTTTAAAGAACAAAAAATAATGTAACATTTAATACATCTTTTCACATTCATACAGTTAATTATTACAATGATCACAGCAGCAGCACGGGTCTGAAATAAACTCGTCTAGGTGGGGAATTTCAGTTCCTCTTTGTAAGCCCATCGTGGATATCGGCTAAAGTCTTTCCTTTGGTCTCTGGAAGAATAAAGAAGGCAAATATAACGCCACACAGCGTTACACCTCCGAAAAACCAGCACATTGTATACATTCCCCAGGACTCGAACACGCTTCCAAAGACTTTTACGTTCAAAAAGGTTAGAATTCCCGTACAAAATATTATAACGAGTGCGGCCATACGTTTGGTGTTTGTTGTAAAAAGCTCCCCCACGATAAAATACGGCAAATGGAGTATTCCCAAAGAGATCCAAAATTTGTATGATGTTAAGCATAATACCGGTAAAAATGAAACTTTCTCTAGATCAACCTGGTCATCAAGGTAAAGGTAAACACCCTCGCCTATTATTGAGATACCGGCTCCTAAAGATGACGCACAAAAAACTGGTCTTCGTCCAATTTTATCCAACAGCAAGACTGATAGGATCACTAAAAATTAATACTTATAACTTGAACTATTTTTGAATAGTATTACATCCGGGTATTGCAATAAATCCGTAGATCACACTAGACAATTTCGGCGAGATACTAGAAGCTCCAGACTCCAATATAGTGTGCAAGTAAGGAGTTATAACGCTAATACCGCAAAAGCTTATGATTAGTTTAGCAGCTGAAATTCAAGAAACTTACAATTGGTTACAATGTCGAATACAGAATCAAACCAAGTGCTATCGCCATTGATCTACGAAAATGTAAAGAGGACAGTGTAATGCTTAATGAACTAGCTGCATCTTGTTCTACAATTTCTTCTACTTTTTTTGCCATCGCGTCAATTTCTTCATTAGTGATAGACAACCTCGAGAATCTCGCAATACTGGCTTTTGCTGCTTCGATTTTACCGACCTTTATTAGAAAGTATGGAGAATCTGGGATTAAGAGGAACATAATGAAGAAGGCGATGGGGAAAACGGCGCAAGCGATTACCAGGTGAGTATACGAAAGGTACGGACCGGCCATGAGCACAAAGACCGTTCCCAGCATTCCCATACCAGAAGGGATGGTTCCGATTTTTCCTCGAATTTCTTTATCTGCCACCTCGCACATGTAAATTGGGCAGCACTACAATCAGATAAGTGTTAACTAAATGGAGTATTCAAAAACTTACAATCAAGGCTATTCCTTGCCCTATACCTGCAAGAAATCTTCCTACAATCAACACCGCTAAAGATTTCGCAAAGAAAAAGCAAATCCAAGACGCGATTGTCAAAGCCGAACTTAGCAGCAAGATGAATTTTGGTCCTATTCTATCAAGGCATATTCCTATTACTAAACTGGCCATGGTTACGCCCAAACCTACTGTCGCAATCGCCCACGATGCTTCCTCCTAAAATAATTTTGCGATTAGGTACTTTTATGCACATTCTTCACGTTTGTTGCTAACTTGGGTTAACGTAACTCCAATTACTGAGACATCCGATGTCAGATGCGGCAATACCGGGGAGATCCAAACATTTACCGAATTTACGGAAAATTGTAAGATGCCCACTGAAAAAAGATGATTAGACAGTTTGAGTATAGTTGTAAATAGTTTGATCTGACGGTTCCTGTAACAGAAACGTACTTACCACAGAATGCCGTAGTATATTGAAAATATTTAGCATGCTTGGGTATACTTTTGCAACATGATGTTCTAGTCATTAACACACACATTTTGAAAGCTTTAAATTGCTCTTGCAGTTATAGATGCTCTAGAAATACTCACGGTTTAAGTGCTGATTACTACTTACATTGTATTAGGTTCAATTGATGTAATAAATCAATACCGTATGATAAGATAGATAAGATAAAACGTCTTAAGATTTGTTTCAAAGTTTATCTATCGACTGTCATTTGTGTTTAAAATGTAAAAAGAACATCTGATATAAGTGCAATAAGTGCACAAGCAAGGAAGCGAATTTGTGAAGGCAGAATCGCCATTTAAAAAGAATCGTAACAATTTCCACCCTTTGCGTTATAGTGTTAACCGTCATTGTTTTTGAATTTACCACAAAATTAAACAAGTTAATCACAAATTCGCTTCATTGCTTGTGCACTTATTGCACTTATGTCAGATGTTCTTTTTTCATTCATTTCATTTATTGTGCTAAGTAATTACATAGTAATTTTTGCACTCGTCTTACAATTACTTTGGTACTTACAATGTGTGTGTATGTGTATATATAAACATAACATGAAACAAACAAACAACGATTAAAATATACATAAAAATTAAAGCCATTAATCATCATCATTAAACACAACACTTTTCTGACACAAGCTCTCAATTATTTCAACTTCAACGCCTCCTTAATAAACATTTAAAACGGCCCTGCAAATCCATTTAAATCGAGTTTTCTCTGGAACTACTGATCGGATTTGAAAAATAAAAACCTAACATTTACTACCCCTCCCCATTTAAAATTTTTGGGGTGCAATTCACTCCCTTCTCAGGGTTCAAGTTATGTAAGTAGTACCTATTGCTTAATTTAGGCGTCCCCTTCAAAACTAAAATTGACATGTTCGAGCGTTTCTGGCAAAACTGTCGTTAAGTTGGCAAAATTGGCATTGACTGTTTTCAGTGAACCACCCTGTATATATCCCTTCTTTGAATTAAAATCGAGACTTTTTAACAAATTCTTGTAGCTGGCCTATTGACGTAAATTTACGGTGACATACTGATTGGAAATTTCTCATTTTATTATTCTTCTGAAAAATGACTTCAAAACCTGATTGTTTCCTTTCAAAATTTAAGACCTGGATATATTGATGAAAATCGAATAGTGAAATGGTACCAATTTATATTTCTCTTGACAGTATTCCCCAGTTGTAATCTTCGGTATAAATTTCAGAACAACTACCTAGATCAAGTTTGTTGCCACGGTCTTAATGAATTACCCCTAATGTAATGCAAAATTTGTTTATACACAAATATAATAAATAAATTAAGCAAAATGAACTCATGAATTTGAAGATTTTCTAGCGTGAATTTTGAACAAACTAGTTTTAAATGAGAAAATGATTTTCTCTATCAAATCGAATTCTAATGGGTTCATAAATGGTAAACACACATGCAATGCAAGCGGCTTCAAATGTGCCCAGAGGTTGATATATTTAAGAAAACGCATTTTCCCTGATAATTGTTAAGCTTCCATTAATTTTATTTAATTGCGATCGTTTTTGAGCACCAAGTTCGATTCCGGAGAGAAGCTTATTTAAGCGAGCGGTTTCAGATACCTCGTAGACAGATAATAAACGTTCCTTAAGAGACTCGTATTTGTTTAATGAAGGAGGATGCAATAAGATGTCTGATACTTGTTGTAGTTGTTCTCGTTCTAGTTTGGCGACGACTAAATTGTATTTGTTATCGTTGCTGGCGTGTTGCGAGTGCATGATGGCTTCAAATTGTGCGAACCAAATACCAAGTCGAACTGTCGGTACGTACCGGGTTTGAGATGTACATACAATAATCCCCGACCGAATGTTATCTCGTGTAAGATTTTCTTGGGTGAGCATTAGGATTTTCATAACGCTACGCTACATTTGGTGTACTATAAAGTGCAGTCATGTTGAAAACTACTTTAGCGTCATTGTACGTGCCCCGTCCCCTTACACTGATCTCAACGACCTACACATTTAAAGAGAATCGCAATATTGGATATGATATGAGTAATGTTCAAGTAGGATTTTGCTGGCAATTGGTACTGTACAAATTTTATGTAAAAGTTTTATATGAATACTTTTCATGATGAAGACGAATACATATCCTACGTTATTTTTGTGTCATATTTATAATTTGGATCTATTCATTTTGTATCACTTGTTTATTAAATCTTGAATTTCACTAAGTGCTTTTCCTTTTGTTTCGGGCAATACGAAAATACCAAAGAGAGTTCCCAGAAGGCACACGCCGGCAAACATCCAAAACACGACGTAAATCCCAAGCGCCTCTACAGCGGGACCAAATGACTTCATGACAACAAACGTAAGACATCCACTGTACATGTGTAATATGGTTCCAGCTACTCCTTTTGCACTTGTGATGAACATTTCACCGTACAGTACGTAAGGCAAAGAGCTTACACCAAATGAGACCATAATGTGGAACAGTGTTAAGCCAAATGTGGGTAACCAGTTGACAGACGATAGGTCGATGTTCCCCAAATAATCCAAATAAAAATATACTCCTTCGCAGATGAGGCCTATCGCGCATCCTATCGTCGATACGATCATTAGTGGCTTTCGGCCCAGTTTATCGATCAATAACGCGGAAATTAGCACTAAAAGCATATATTAAAATACTTAACACTCACGCCTATACGATTGTGTACCGGAAGGTATTTGCGACGATCCAAAAATGACACTGGATAGTTGAGGTGATATATCCGTCTGACTTAGCTGCATAATAGTTTCCATGTAGGCTTTTATACCGTACAATCCACTTAACTGCTGAATCGTTTTTAAACCTAAAAGGTCATGTTTGTTGCTACTCAGAGTTTGAAATTTACATGACACCACTCAAAACGGAGTTGCTGTTATTTTTCTAGTGGCTAACTACACTTTGAGTGCTGGCAAGTTTAATCAACCACCATCCGTCTGCTACCAAAACAGACGGACGGATAGAGGTAATGTAAATCTAACCAAGTACTATTAATAAGGATTTTCTGAAATCCTTATTCCATATAATATCTTTTATAGATTTTCGCCCTCTATTTTGATCCGCTATTATTTTCTCAATTTGTAAAAAACGGTTCTCGATGGCTTCGCAATTTTCGGTTTTTGCAGCTAATCGAGTTAAACTTTCCCGCGCGGCCACTCTCTTGTCTACTTGAAGCAGGTAGTAGGGCGACTCGGGAAATGGCAACAGCGCCAGGGCACAAACTAGCGGAACAGCGGCCCCTAACACGCTTAACCACTTATACGATATATAGGGTCCCACAGATAACGTGAGCACAGTTCCAGACGTCGCCAAAAGTGTATAAACCAATGCCAGCCTTCCCCTAATATCCTTGTCGGCTATTTCACCGATGTACACCGGAACAGTCTAAAATGGCACGTTAGCACATTTCTTTGGACATCCGCCAACTTTACAATGGACGCGAAAGCCATCCCAATTCCTCCCAAAAAACGCGCGATCATAAAAACGACCGCGTCAGTGGATAGTGCTATAGCAACCCACGGCAAAAAGAGAAAAACGGTAGTCAACAGAATGGTTTTCTTCCTGCCGATCTTATTCAATAGCAACCCTCCAAGTATCGATCCTGGTATTGATCCCAAGGATACAAATGACACAATCCACGAGATCTCCGCCTAAAAACGTCCCGACTGTATTTCTAATTCGCCATTTTCATTGTGTAATAAGTAATACTTACTGAAGAAAAAAATGTTAACTGAGGTATTACTGGAGAAGACCAAGACAAGTGCATGGAACCGGACGAAGAAACCAGTGAGGCTGAAAACGTAATCGTCACATGCACAACTAGATGGAAGAAAGTTACCAATAAACACTGATAGGTATTGCATATACCTGGTTCGCTTCCAATAGCCGAACGAGTACATTTTGGAAGTTGGAAGATTAATGATGATACTTGTAATTCTATTGCATAAGTAACAGACAGATACAGTTATCTTGTGAGATATCACAACTGTATTGCACACTCAAAATTATCAATAAGTAAAGTTTTCATTGTAAAATACAGACTTCTTATCTTCGACCAATTCGTCATTTTTCTCTAGCAAACAAACATTTAAGTACTTGCACTAAATCAACCGGTTTGGTTTCGTCGCCAACCTTCATAACGGGAATAAGCAAAATGTCGGGGTTTCTGGTTGTCGTCTCAGATGAGGCTGGACAGGTGTCAACCGTTGTTTCTGGATTTGTTGCAAGTGTTGTACTAGACACTGTAGAGGATGTGTGGTTCGCAGGACAATATTCGGAGGTGGTTGTTTCAGTAGATGTCGATGGTGTTTCCGTCGTGGCCTTCGTGGATGACAGTTTTGGATAATGTGAATATTTCCGACTAGTCGTTGTGCTGGCCGTTGTGTTGGGGGATGTCCACTTAGGCATGTCTGTAGAGGTTCCTTCGGTTACAGCTGGAGAAGACGAGGTGGATGTGGTGGATTCGTAACCGGCATGTACAGCGTGTGTTAACTTTGAAGAAGTCGTTGCGTTCCACACCGACGTTGTTGACCATTCCGTGGTACTGCTAACATTTTGCACGTCTTTAAGCGTTAGACAGGCTTTGGGTTTCTCTTGGCAGTTTATGAGCTTATTGATAACATCAATTAAATGCCCAAGCAGGCAGGATTGCTCATCTTGTTTCGACGCACACTCGCACATTGGTGCCCCTAAGACCATCTGACCTATAAAGGCTACTAACACGACTACACCAAAAATGACTCTCATTGTCATACAAAACTGAATACACTACAAAAATTACATTCAAATTCGTCGCTTTTATATTAACGGGTAGAAAGACTAGTTTAGTGAACCTTAATGTTTATCACAATCTCGTGCATAAACAGCAAGAAATGACACAGAAATACCAGGTAAGTGCAACACAAACACATCTTCAATGTCACGATTTAATTAATGTAAGCTATACCACGGCAATTGTTATTACCTAACAGATTATATCTGCATAGGTAAATCTTTTAGTTTATACACAAATTCAACTATTTTTTTTTCTCAACTCTTTTCTTTCGTCGAAGTACTACTTTCAGGCAAACTACGATACTGGTGGAAAGTCTGAAACTGACTGATGTTTTTCATGCGTGCGAAAATCAAAACCAATTATGTTATGAATTGATGTGCGTAAAACAAGTTTACTAACAAGCATCTAACAATAACAGCGAATTTGTCAGGTGCCAAAGCCTTCATTCGTTCTTACTTGTGCATGTGTAAGGGGCCTATAGTTGACTGCTCTTTGAGGCTTCTCAAAATTTGTCTGCTTGTGCTTGTGCAAGGTGCTGAATTTTCGATATCAGTTCATTTATGCCTTAATAGCTTTCACATAAAGCTAAGACCCCATCCTTTCGCTTAATACTGTGCAATTAAAAAATGTTCTAAAAACGGAAAGCCTTTTAAAATATCGTGCTAAACGAAAAGAAGCACCTTCTGCAAGGAGACGAATTTATTCTGGTTAAATTACAACTTGCAATTGTCTTTTATGTTACACGCCAAAACACCTTTTCAAAATTCATGTTAAAAATAATAGCAAATTTTGTAAATTCAGATGCAAAAGGGACGAATCTAATCTCCAACCATAAGGGTGAAAGAAACGAATTTTACAATTGGCTTCGTAACAGTCTGGAAAAACTTTTAAAAAGTCATGTTCAAAATAAGAAACAGTTTCGCAGAGAGAGATTTGCAGATTCAGAAGAGACGAATCTCACTCCTTTTAAAAATCATCATTATTAGTGTTCTGCTAGTGCAGGTCCCTTATGGCTCTTCTCCACGACTCTCTATCCTCTGTTCTTCTCTTTACTCCATATATTTCTTCCCCCTCTTCAAGTCGTCAACCAATTTCCTTCTTCTTCTTCTTCTTCTTCTTCTTCTTCTTCTTCTTCTTTTCTTTTCTCACTAAACCCTCGCTTTCTTAGTACCTGTCCAATCCATTTCATTTTCGTTCGCTTTATGATCCTTCACATTTCGAAAGCTTCCTACCTTTCCTGATCTCTTTTCATTGCTGTCCACGTTACACACTACCATACCACATAACCATACGTTAGAACACTCCATACAAAACGTTTTCTAACCCCTCTCTTAAGTGAATTTCTATTTTAATTGCATAAAATCTTCCTCTTACTACTAAATGCTTGTTCGCTATCCTGATTTTAATTTCTCTTTTCAAACCTTCTTACCCTATTTTCCAACATACCTATTTAGATATTTTCGCCATATCTTCTACTCTACATATAAATTAGACAGAGTTGCTGATAAACACCATTCCTGTCTAACTCCTCTTCAGATTTCAAACCAATGCGTCTTATTACGTCCAACCCTGACTTTTCTTTTTGTTACATAAGTTTCGTATTACTCGTCTTTGTCTCCAGTTGACTCCTTTCCCCTTTAGTATTTAGCAAGAGTTCCTCCCAGTTTAACCAATCGAATGCCTTTAGAATGTCAACAAAAGCTACAAAGAAATCCTTTCTTTTTTCCAAATATCTTTTGCCGATCGTTCTCACCACTCCTATTTCGTCTCTCGAGCCTATTCCTCCTCTGAAACCAAACTGCTCTTCTCCTATGTTCTCCTCCATAACTTATTCGAGCCTTCTATTCAATATTTTCACACCTTTGCTGTGTGCTGATACTACGAGTATATTCTGAGCATTTTTTGTACCTTGCTTTTTAGGTATAGCCACCATTTATGAACAGAAAAATTATCAAAGTCCTCGTTTGAGATCGAAGGGACTTCAGCGCATTTTTGTGTGGCAGATCAGTATTCTATTAGCCACTTTCGACTCAACCATCAATAACAGATCTTGTCGAAGGCTACTACATTCACTAACTGCTTCCCACTTTCCGCGTGCACCCGCAATTCGCTTTTAAAGATTTAACTCCACCATCAGTAAGATCGTGTTGGGGGCTACCACATTCCCTTTGACGGTACCCACTTCCGACGTTCCGTTCACCCGCAATTCGCGTTTGAAGATTTGACTCCACCATCAGGAAGATCGTGTCGGGGGCTACCACATTCCCTTTGACGGTACCCCCTTCCGACGTCCCGTTCACCCGCAATTCGCGTTTGAAGATTTGACTCCACCATCAGGAAGATCGTGTCGGGGGCTACCACATTCCCTTTGACGGTACCCACTTCCGACGTCCCGTCCTCGCAATTCACTTCTATTGGCGACACGAGAAAGAGAGACAGCGATTCGAGATTTACGAAACGTTAAACCGCGTGAGTTCGCAACGGAAGGTAAAAGGCGCCCGAAGTTGACTACTTCTCGAAGACGCGCGCGCGCCTCGCAAAAGGTCGTTAATTTCGCCCCTATGACAAAAAACAAAATTCCGCCACGCAGGAGTTGTGCGCGTTTACAACATCTTTCCGACGACACCAATTTCAAAAGAATCGGACCAAAACTGTAGTAGAAGATAGGAAAAAACTGAAAAACCTTCACGTTAGTATACTACGCTCGAGGATGACGCCCAGATGTCGCCAACCCCACATCATGTAGCCATGCCCCTAAGGTTGACACATTTCACGGCCCTGTAGATACACGTACACCCGTTGCCTTTCTACAAGAGTTCTTCTACGCGCCCACATTTGTTGCCAGCCAGCCAGCCAGCCAAAGTGAGATTAAAAGCTACTTTTTACAAATAAATTTGCAAAAATGCGCTAAAAAGTCCACTTTCGCAGATTTTATTTCAGAGAGATGTAATTTCTTTGATTCCTTTTCCTTGTGGACAGTATAATAAATCTATGGGGATATAATATCGACTCCTTCATTTATTTTATAGCTATGCTATTACTTCGGTTAATAGATTGCCTTCCCGGATGTTATCACTCTTTACTTCCTCTACACTTTCCACTGTCGGCTGTACTTTGCTTGACATCATTCCTCCGTATATTCTTTCCATCTTCATAATACTTCGCTTCTTCTGTCAACAACTTATCCTTATTTTCTATTTCTGTTCCGTTCATAGTTTCTCCCTACCTAACATATTTTTCTTCATTTTATTACATACCAAATTATGTCTACCGGATTTCTCGAGTTCTTCATTTTTTTATACATTTTGGCCTGTAGAATCTATAACTCTCAACAGTTTGAAGATTGGGCCACTAGATCAAAAAATACAGCCCCTTGAATTTTGTTCGAAATTGGTTTTTTGCCTATAACTTTTGATTCAGAGGTCCAATCGACAAAATACAACACTTTTGGAATCTACGAAGCTAAATTAATAGGAAAAAGTGTTTTCCTAAACATTTTTGGGGTGTTCGATTTTAGGTGAAAAATCAAAGGGTATATTTTGGGCCGTAAAAATTATTTACCCTTACCCTTACCCAAAATCGTCTGGAAATTGTAGTTTCCATGACAGAGGCAGAGCAGACTGCGTTTCCTGCCGCTTGTTACTTTACTGGTCGCACTGTCACTTTACCGGCCTCATTTGTGACATTGCTAACTGTCTATAATGACTCCTGTCATCACTGACAGATTGACATTAATCAAAAGTTCTATATACAAATTGAAATTTTATACTAAAATACGATTTCGGATAAAATTTAATACAAAACACGTCAGTAAAAATGACATTACCTGACTCGGAAATTAAATTACTCGGCCCCCAAGGGGCCTCGGACTTGAATATTTCCTCGCCAGTAATGTGTCATTTTCCTGACTTTTATGTAAATAACTATTGTCTGACATCGACCGGGAAAAATCATTTTTTTGGCCTGTCGAATCCATAACTTTTAACAGTTTGAAGATTCGGCCACTAGATAAAAAAATACAGCCCCTTGAATTTTGTTCGAAATTGGTTTTTTGCCTATAACTTTTGATTCAGAGGTCCAATCGACAAAATACGATACGTTTTGGAATCTACGAAGCTAAATTAATAGAAAAAAGTGTTTCCTTTTGAAAAAACCAACATCGAATAAAAATTCTATGAGCTGTAATTTTTGATCTAGTTGCCCAATCTTCAAACTGTTGAAAGTTATGGATTCTACCGGCCAAAATCTATAATAAATAAATCTATAATATAATAAATCCTAGCGTGATAAATTTACATAATACGGGACGCCAATTCAATTGGATATAATTGGTTGATACCTTGACAAAACAGTTTTTTTTTTAATTTTACTAATGTCAATAAAATATCTTTTATGAAAATTTCTGAAAAAAACCCTCAATTTAAAAAAAAATAAGAAAATGCTGTACCTCATAGAAAATGCGCTTTGAAGACCAATGGCTTCCATCCTATGATTACTTATTCAATACTTCCATGCAATACGCACTCGGCCCTTCGTGTAAAGGTGGTACCTGCGAAATTGACCAGTCAAACAATATTTCCACTTCAAACTACTCCCGATTTTAATTGTTCAGAGTGCTTTTAACTTCCAAAGAAAGGAAAATTTTCCCATCCATAATTAAATCCATCCTCGACTTGCAATGACTGTCTTTTAATTTGCACGGTGGAACAGATTTGCTCGGCTTAAAATTTAACCGAAGATATTTAATAATCCGTTGGCGGTTTTTACACTTTTTCATCGGAAGAAACTCGCGGGAAATTAACACTAGAAATGCCCCAAAGAAATATTAATTCCAGACTACTTTACGTGACGGTCTCGTGGTTCGAACCCGAATTTCTTACCCGAGCTCTACAACGGCCTAACACCTAATTTTTTTCTTGATTACCCGCAAAAATGTGACGAGTTCTACCGCGGCTCGGCCCGTAATTCCCAAAGAACTCTTTACTTCTGTTATAAAAAGAATTTGTCGCATTGTTAATTTCGTCCCTATCTTCAGAGGGTAGAATCTCTAAATGGTGTTAAATTAAACTGAATTGTAAAAAGACTCTAAATCTACTAATACTTCGTTAATTCCCCAGGAAACGTAAAACCTTTCCGTGAGGCATTTGCTACTTCGCCAATTTTCACTTTGTCCATTATCCTAAAAAAGTAGCCCGAGTAAGCTTACTTACTCTCCCTTTCGTTTCAACTTATGTATTCCTTGCGGAGCTTCCATTTCCCGTTTCATCAATCTATCTATTTTAATGTGTAATTTAAAAAATGCGCACCTTTTTAGCGCATTTCCACAAAAATAAAAAACAAGTTAAAAAGTAATCGTAAACGATTTACATAAAGCGCATTTCCACTTGCATTCATTTCCCATTTGTAAGATGCAACTTCTGTTAAAATCGTAAAAATCCGGCCACAAATATGAAAGATAGCGTTGCACATGGGCAATCCATTGTTGACGTGCTACTTCAATTTCAGTTTATGAGAAGAATTTCATTTCAATGCTTTTCTAAATAAGAAAGTTGGAACTGCGCATGCGCAAACCTAAATTTTAAAACTAATTTACTATAACTAACTAATAAACTAAGATTTTCCTTTGTTCCAAGCGCCTAAGTATCAAATTTCACTTAAATAGTTCCATAGATAAAAAAGTTGGCACGGCGCATGCGCAAAATAAAATTTTGAAACTGGCGCTAGATTTTCCTTTATTCCAAGTGCCTATGTATCACATTTCATTTAAATTCTTCCATAAATAAAAAAGTTGGCACTGCGCATGCGCAAAACCAAATTTTGAAATTGGCGTTTGATTTTCCTTTATTCCAAGTGCCTATGTATCAAATTTCATTCAAATACTTTTATAAGTAAAAAAGTTTGCAATTCGGTTTATAAATGGTCGAGATGCGAAAAGGGCACTGTGAATTTTGAATCGATTCGATCCAACTTTTGGCATTGCGTATTATATGGCTAAATCTATGCCCATATTGAATTTCATGCAATTCAGTTCATAACTAACGGAGATGTAAAAGCGATCGAACATTTCTAAACAAAGTTATCGTTCACACGGACAGATAGATGGACAGACAGACAAAGGAACAGACGGAGAGACCAACCGGCAGGCGACAGATAGCAATGCAAAATTATAAACGATCTCTAGGATCGTTAATAAACGGCAAAAGTGTAAAATTATGGAACATGTAAAAAACGGTTTTTTGTTTTTTTTACAATAACTTTTTTGTAAGCGGTACAGAAAAAATTCCTTCCTTGGTACAAGACTCGACACCATAACGAACCAAATAGCGAAAAAAAGTAGAACAATAGCTCTTAAGATAAAAAACTAGTAGCGTCGCAAAGTTAGCGGACGGACGGACGGACGGACGGACGGACAAAGTGGCCACAATAGCGCATTTTTTTTTTGTGGAAATGCGCTAAAAAATGCGCTATTGTGGCCACTTTGTCCGTCCGTCCGTCCGCTCGTTTTGCGACGCTACTAGTTTTTTATCTTAAGAGCTATTGTTCTACTTTTTTCGCTATTTGGTTCGTTATGGTGTCGAGTCTTGTACCACGGAAGGAATTTTTTCTGTACCGCTTACAAAAAAAGTTATTGTAAAAAAAAACCGTTTTTTACATGTTCCATAATTTTACACTTTTGCCGTTTATTAACGATCCTAGAGATCGTTTATAATTTTGCATTGCTATCTGTCGTCTGCCTGTTGGTCTGTCCGTCTGTTCCTTTGGCTGTCTGTCCATCTACCTGTCCGTGTGAACGATAACTTTGTTTAGAAATGTTCGATCACTTTTACATCTCCGTTAGTTATGAATTGAATTGCATGAAATTCAATATGGGCATAGCTTTAGCCATATAATACGCAACGCCAAAAGTTGAATCGAATCGATTCAAAATTCACAGTGCCCTTTTGCATCTCGACCATTTATAAACCGAATTGCAAAATTTTTTACTTATAAAAGCATTTGAATGAAATTTGATACATAGGCACTTGGGATAAAGGAAAATCAAACACCAATTTCAAAATTTGATTTTGCGCATGCGCAGTGCCAACTGTTTTATCTATGGAAGCATTTAAGTGAAATTTGATATTTAGGCGCTTGGAACAAAGGAAAATCTAACATTAGTTTCAAAATTTAGGTTTGCGCATGCGCAGTCCCAACTTTCTTATTTAGAAAAGCATTGAAATGAAATTCTTCTCATAAACTGACATTGAAGTAGCACGACAAAAATGGATTGCCCATGTGCAACGCTATCTTTCAATATTTGTGGCCGGATTTTTACGATTTTATAGAAGTTGCATCTTACAAATGGGAAATGAATGCAAGTGGAAATGCGCTTTATGTAAATCGTTTACGATTACTTTTTAACTTGTTCTATATTCTTCTTTATATAAAGTTGATCAGATCCTCTACGACACTGGAATAAAAATTTTCACAATTAAATTTACCCACAGCTAGCTCTGCAATGAAATTTAAATACCCCTTACTTTTTGAAACTCTGGTTTGAATGCATACGAATAAATACTGTTGTGTAAACTAAACCACACGTGGCATCATCAACAGATGTTGGGCCACCCTGTAAAATAAAAGTTTCAATTTTCAAGCGTAAATATGGTCGTTAATTCGAGATGAAACACAGATTTGTTCATATATTGAATTCCAGGTAATTTTATTTTATATGAGATTTGTTTGATGTTAATAATGTTGTTTAAATACTCACCTTTTTATTTTAATTTGTAATAGTAGTTATTTTGTTTCAAGATAGACACGTGTTATCACCGAGATAAGCAGGTATTAAGCTTATCGTGCGATGACGCATTAATTTATTAAGGAAGGAGGAAGAAAAGAAAAGGAAAGGGAAGAATTTTTTAAATAGCAGAGGAAGACGTTAATCGAGGCTTTTGATGTTGGCCAGTCTGCCGTATTTGAGCGTTTTATTGCAAGACAGTCAGTCTTGCCGGTTGTAAAGTTCTTATTAAAGAAAATTAGAGAGAGTTTAAACGGATTTTTATTCCCTCGTGTAAATTGAACGTTACTACGAATTAAAGAAGTGAAGTTTACGAAGATCATCGAGCGTTTATTCGCATAAGGTAGCCTTTCTTATAAGTTTTCCTAGTATACGTTAGTAACCTCGCACACCGGCGCAATAAGCAATGAGTAACCAGCAATATAGGCAATAAAGAACAGGCAATACATGTTGTGATATAGGTTGATTGTAGGTACCACCAACATTTTACTAGGTACCATTAATAACTTTGTTACGCTTTTGTATTATAGTGGAAAGGTTCCCCTGGGTCACCCTGTATTATGGTCGAACTTCTTACTTTTATTACTGATGTACCGTTTTTTTTTCGTAAGGAGAGTAACAAACGTAGACCTCCTTCCATGTGTAAAAAAGCATAGTTCCGTAGTATCGAAAATAAGATCTCGTTAGTAAGGTAATTACGTAAATTTTAAAAGCATTGGGTATAAATAAATAACATAATAATAACATAATACACTCGCGCTTGAAATGTTAACACGGAATCAAAAATAGACAATTGGCATCGAAAGAGGAAGTTACCTAGTGCAATTTTAGTTATATTAGTTCAAGTTTCTTCAAAAACCTACTTAAAGGTTAACCACCTAATTTAAGGCGTAAAGAAACTGCAATAACAAAATTATTGTAATCGCTTTGGTAATTAAAAAAAGTCCCAGGGACATCCTTCCACGAAAAGACACTCACAAGTAATGAATATGGCAAGGAAAATCTCCACTCACATGACTTTCCAATTTAGAATCGAATGGGTCTTTTATTTACCATTCACAAAGATAGTTTAACATGATCAAAAACGGTAAAGAGGTAGCCCGTTTGTGCGTTTGGCCCTTTGCACACTAATCAAAAGAACGTTGACATGTAAAGCTCAAGTTGGGTTTACAGAGAGGCCAAGGGATTAGGTTTTGGGCTTCGGGGGACATTCTGGGCACTATGGTAAGAAATGCATATAGCTTTGAGTGGGTTTATTTCAATCCAGCAACCATATATTTGCGGTGTATAGGATTCAGATAAAAATGTTTGTTGTAAATTTGGACTCGGCATCAATGGAACCTAGGACGGCGACCGCTTCTAATGAAGATTAATAGAAATTTCAAAAACGATCCGTTTTTAGCCAAGCCCGAAGTACCCGACTCCGCTATTTTAAGCATGGCGTGATTTATTGCAAAATAATAAATAAGGTCGACGTCGACTTTCGCAAACCGAAACTAATCGTTTAGAATAATATTGCCAAGTTTAACAAAAGGTCGTTAAAAAACAACGCGAAATTACAAACGCTAAATAGAAGAGGACGCCTTTAATACTGACGTATCCGACGCCGACGCTAACGGTATTATCTAAACATAGAAACCGCTCCAATGCAGCGCGCGATTACCTTATTCCTTAAATTATTCCCTTAGAAACGGGAGTTGTTAGTGTTAATTTTGGTTTATTGTACATTTCGTCAGAGGAAATAATGGCTTACAGTTGGGATAGCAGAATCAATTTCGTCGTCAAGTATCTTTATGGTAAGCGAGTTTTCGTTTTTACGTGTGGACCACTTGTTATGCTTTAATCCACGCTTTAAGCAAGAAGAGTGCTGTTGACCCAAGTTTCTGCATAAAAGTGCGACGTGTCTTTTAAATGAGTTCGTGCTTACACTTATTATTTATTTTTCTATTTATAATAATAATAATTACGGATACTGACCTAGACACCTGGTAACCTTACCTTGTAAAAACTTTCGTGTGATAGAAAATAGAACAATATTCTTTGAAAAAATCTAACGAAAGTAAGTTTATACTCCTAAAGCATGCTTCCAAACCCGCCAAGAATGCTCATATCCAATTTTTTTGATGATTAACAAAAGTGACCATTTTGTTATTCCTTTTCTAAATTATACACGAGTCACTAAAGTAGGTAGTTAATTTTTAGCTCTGATACATAATTTTTCCCAGTTGTAGGAGTGCACATATCACAGTTTTTGCTTCCCACCATAGAAAATGTCTGAACTATTCCTGATTCTGATACCATTGCTGAGTGGCAAGGGATCACCTGTTGTGTAGAGGCCGGATTTTGGTGCTGCCACGAGGATCTTTGCACACTATCTTCAGTGTTGCTACTTGATGCATATTTTCCTCATCTTCATTGGTGCTAGACTGTACAAGGTGGCGAAGACCAAGAGGTTTCTTTTATTTGAGTCCGAATCCAAATGATGTGAAAGTCGAAAACTTTGAACTTTTATCTATCTGGAGGTTGAAATCAATACTTTGAATCACGAACCTGGCCTTATTTGTTAAAAGAAAGAGTACTATTTGAATCCTCCACCGTATAAACAACTTTATTGCGAACTTCGAAGTAATGATAGATTTTTATAATATTAAAACTTATGTTGATGGAATGGAGTCACCAGTAACCCTGTCTACCTCTATACTTTATCATGAGATTTTTTCTTATTTGACGAATCGTTTGACACCACACGAAATCAACGAGGATGCTGAAATCCTCCTCTCAGTAGCCACAATCCATTTCTATAATAAACGTTACTCGGCCTTTCTGAACTGTGAGAATTTGAGAAAACCGTAAAAACGGTTTGAAGAAGACGTTTAGAAAATGTAAGAGGATGGAATCGATATTTCTTCAAATAGTCTAGCTCTAGAGAAAGAATGTCTTGTGAGAATCTATGTTAAATCCTTTCAGAATCTTTTCAAATCTCTCAAAATGTTTTCATAGCCATTCAAAATCTTTTCAGTATGGCCTTAGGATCTCTTCAGAATTCAACAAAATACCTCCTCTTCAAATCAATACTGTAAATAATCCGAGGCAATCGGTACAACTCACGAGCCTCCCAACCGGACTTCCCACGAAGGATTTCTTATTTCTACGTACCTAAACCAAAACAAAATTAAATTCTTTTTATTATGTATTTATACAGTGCTATTTATTAAGTAGGCATAGGGATTTATTGTATTGTTTTTCCCTGTCTACTTTTAAATGACAAAATCTCTTCTGAAGGGCGCCTAATTTTATGCAACCAAAATAACTTCTTAAAACAAAGATCTGGCTGTCACATTAATTAAGTTTAGTATTGTTGCTTTGGCTTTCGTATTTTATCTTCGTTCGTGTTCGACCTGAAGAAAACGTTTATATTGGTAGGTATAGGGCCCATAACAGCGTAAGGGATTTATTTTCTGTTAAATCAAAGCATGCTTAAAATTAGGCGCCCTTCAGAAGATATTTTGTCCTTTGAAAGTAGACATAGGGAAAAACAATATACATACATCCCTATGTCTACTTCTTAATAAATAGCACTGTAAATTAGAGGTATTCTTGTCAGAATGTGTTCTACATCTTTTTTTTTCTAATTTCCTTTGAGCATATCTTCGAGGTCTCTTTATGCTGCGTCTAGTCTCTTCATAATCTTTTTATAATCTCTTCAGATTTCGTCAGTCTCTTTGAAATATCTTCACAGTCCCGGTATTTTCAAAGTTACTTAAAAGCTCTGGACTCTGGACACAACACACCTGTCCAGCTAGCTCAAAACAAATCAAAATGGAAACTTAATCCTGGCACACATCCTCCATCTGCCATAAAGAGAAATCCTAATACTTAATGGTATTTGTCTCATACGAGAAACAGAAAAACATCAAAAGGATTTTTTTCTTACTTTTACTTTAGGAAAACAAACCAGGCAGATTACCCCCAGCAAAAACCCCTATCACTTAATCCCCCGACAAAATCCACCGGGTGACATAACCCCAGGATAAATAACCCCTGGACAGTAAACCCCCCGGATTTAAACAATAGCCCCCAAACAATATGATACCCATGCGCTCCAAGAAAATTAAGAAAAATAACCCAAACCCTCAAATAACCTAGTACCCAACATTGTCACGTTCCTTCTGAATTTCTTAAGAATTAGAAAAGAAGCCATATGCACATATCCACAAACTGTAGAAAATGACATAGGGGAGTTGTTGTCTCCCGGGGGTTAATGGAATGGACTTTTGCCCGGAGGGGTTTTGGTTGGGGGTTATTGTCCTGTATCGCTTCTCAATTTGAGAGACTCTGTGGCCTGGATAAACTATCGAAAAGCGCAAAGAATTTATGACACAAATTTTGATTCACACCTGAAATTAATCTTGGGCAGGGATGGAAAAATCTGGCATGAAAACTTTAGCTGGGTCGCACAAAGGATTCCAATAAACACACAATCAATTAATTGACAATGACAAACATTTATTCCAAATACCCCGCAACCGGCGGTCGACAATGGATTTAAAAAAATCGTAAGTTACTTGCTTCTACACGGATTTATTATTAAAAAAACTGTCTCTTCAACAAATCAAATCAGACTGATTGCCCGTAATTTAGCGTAAACAAATTTACACGCTTTTTTTACCGTAACGAAAACTCACAGCAGCAGCCTCGTTTACTCGTTGTCTCCAGCATTTAACAAAACCTCGTTCCCCATTAAGCTCTTTCTTTAAAAAAAATTCGAATAACTCGCCAATCGCAACGGAACGCGCCAAGAAACGCGCAATTCTTCGTAACATCTGCATCTCTGTTATCTCTTAAGAGCGATCGAACACGTGCGTTAACATATTTTCGCCTGGTAATAAAAAAAACGACAAGACATAAACAATCATTACGTATTTAAAACATTTCTAAAAGGAAAAAACAAGACTGAGATACGTATTCAAATGCAACGAATTTGCTTGATGCTTTATTCGTAAATGATTCCCCAGATTTACGCTTAATAAATTGAAATATTGTCATTTACAGGGTGTACCGTCAGTATTTTTGGTGTTTAAACCAAGATAACGTCTACGTGACGTTGTTTACACGACAGTGTGTAAGTTTCTTCAAAAGCTTTCAAAATTTTCTTTTCAGAATTCTTTCGGAAATTTTTAGTGTCCTGTAAGATATAAGAAAGAGACATAAAGGAAGCGTGAGGGAATGCAAGGAGAGCATGAGGGAAGTTTGAAACAGATATGATAGAAGGTGAAAGAGGTATAAAACAATAATAAGAAGACGAAGGTAAAGGGGGACGGTAAAAAACCCGACGGTATTGTGAAACTGAAAAGGATATAAAAGAATCAGGATGAAAGATCGAAAGAGACCGTGAAAAGGGCTTAAAGTGTGAAGAATATTAAAGAAGATAGAAAAAATGACGTGGAGTTTATGATAGTGGTGTGAAAGAGTCGTCAAGCAAACGTGAAGCAAATGAAACGTAGTGAAATAAAAACCGAAAAAGTCTTGAAAGAGGCGCGAAGAGTAGAGTAGAAAAAATGGAGATATGAAAGCGATATGGGAGACGGGTAATGATCTAGATTAGATGACCACAGATAGAGACGGATGGAAACTCATAGCTTTTAATCTGTGGTCCGGACAAGAAACAAAGTCTAATAGTAATCTCGACAATTTGCCCGCTCATACGCTCGACGGCGATTGCATTTATAGGCCCTGCACTTGTAACTGGAACCATTATTGAAGGATGAAGAAGTTATGATAACGGGAACCGATACCGGTGACGTTATGTAGCAAATATTCCCGAAATCCCGATAGACATCGAAGCACCATGAAAGATTAGTCATCGGAAATCAAAAACGAAGGCGGATGTGACGCAATTTTTCCGGTAAAAATGACGTCTTTTGCTCTAGAATTTCGAGAACCTTCGGGGGTGCTTGAGAATACTCAAGTTTTCCATGTAAGCAAATCGATTTGCGTTTCGGTTCAGTTACAACTTCAACACCGAAGTAATAAATAATTCGGTCTGTTATAAATTGTGAGTGAGTAAATAATATTTTGCCGTTATAAACATAGCTGATCATTTTTGTTTCTGTTGACAACGAATGTCCTACGCATTCTTTCTGTTGGAGAGAAACCATCGCAAATTAAGCCGTTGCCAAATGGCAAAACTGTATGGGTAGACTGAGGACACCATTCAGTTTGCTCGTCGTACCAGTGGCAGATATATGTTCCACAAAACCACTCAGTGGCAATCATATAGTCAGTCAGATACTCACTGAAAACCTAGTCCTGTTATCCATAATTATTCTACTCCATTTTGAGAAATCATTACATTGTATTTTAATGCTCCTCTAACAATTATACAATTTCTATTTTATTGTTAAATTCGTGAGAAAGTTTAGTTGAAAGAAACAAAATTACCAATCGTTATTTTTAAACATCTTTTGTTTTCCTAAAATGTTGGCATCACCAGCTGTTATCACTAGTCTGCCTCCCACAGCTCTACATATTATTAGCAATATAAGTACCATGTAATAATGATAATAATTGATACACGTCTATTTCTCATCTGGAATAGGCAGCCTCTTCAGTTTTTCTCACTGAAACGCGCCCCGCCGATTCCTCGGTTTTCAACCGAGAATCCGATGGAAGCGAACCCAACAGAAAGGGATGGTCGCCATGTCTTTTCTTTATGGATCGTACTTCGAGGTTTGTGACAATTTTCGATAGTCTTGATCCACTTGTTAAAATCGACATCCTATCTTCTCACGGACCA